TCACCTGTGCTGCGGCGGAAGCACCTGGCGCCCCGGTCCTCCCTCAGTGAGCGGCCGTTGGCCCCTGTAGGGACTCCCCGTCACCCCCGCCATTTCGTCGCGGTTTTTGCCGCTCTCGCAAGGAGCCGGTGCGAGACGGGCGGGCGCGCGAGGGCAGGGTGGACATTGCGGGCCAAGGCGCTGCTGAGGAGGGAAAAGGGCCCCAGGGGGCAACCGGGCAATGTTACCTGTGGTTTGTGGCCCAGATACAGCCACGAGGCGGCTTCCGCCTGCACAGGTTGTGGGAGCGGAGGCGGCTGCCTCCAAAGGCCTCAGCACAAACCAATCCACTCAAAAGCAAGAGGTGAAATAAGTGAGAAAACAATTATTGCCAGCAACTAAAAAAATAATTAAATAACATAAACAGAATTTAAGTATGGATGTGCTTGTAATTTTGGATGTTTTCTGTGACTACCAGGAGGCCTCTGCTGGGATGTTGCCTCTGGTGCTGTAGGTGCTGCAGCAGGAGGAATCTGCGTGTGGCCGGGAGTGACCCCAGAGGAGGGTTGAGTAATGGTAAGAGGGTTACGAAAACTGATCCTGTGTGGCTAGGTTGGAGGAGAAGGGCTTGTCTGGTCTAGAAAAGAAAGACTGGCAACACCTTCAATATTATAGCATAGTTAAAGTAAGATTAAATTCCTACTAGATCCTACCTGTATCTCTACACACCCTGCAGCAATGGTAGTCCCATTATCATAGCCAAGTACATCCAGTATCCTCCTTTTTTGAAAGAGGGAGAGAAAAAACATGTTACATGTATAACAAGACCCTTCTGTGACACTTCAATTCCAGTGAAAACTGAAGAATAATATTAAAAAAGTCACTAATGTACACAATGTGCTTAAAAAAAATCTTAAATTTGGCCTGTCTTTTTCACTTCTTCTTTCTCTAGCTGGCACTGTAATTCTCCCTTCCTTATTTAGAAAATCTATTCAAAATTTTATTTGCAATATAATTATTTATCTAGTCATCCGTTTTCTGGGAAAAAAGGTCTATTTTCAAAATACTGCTTTTTCATAAAACACCAAAATTCTGTTTACAGCTGTACAAAAAAACCTCTATTTAAACAGGACAGATACTATATCTTGCAAAAATAGTAGTTTACAATTTGTATATTTAAACAAACATTATTATTAGTTCCATCTTAAAAGAGCTATTAAAATATAACATACTTTTGTGCAATAAAAGTTTGGAAAGCCAAACATTGCAATCAAGCCAAAAGTGAAACTAACTTTAAATAAAAATGAAACTACTGTATTAGCTGAACTGAAATATAAATGCAGATATATCTGTTGTAAAAAGCTGCATGTTTACAGTTATATTGCTAGCATAGTAGAGAATGTTTGATCCTGTTAGGTTGATAATTTCTGCTTATTGTGATATATTTTGATCAGTAGTAATTTAGCATCAGATAAGGAGCTATTGTCATCACACATATGCTAAATGTGTGGAGTTGTCTGCAGGTACTGATTTAAGAGTTGTCCTTAAATTTTGGTAAAAATGGGATGTCAGGCCAGCAGTCTGGAGGAGACCCATTCCTTTTTGCCTCACAACCTGCTACTGCTTTTGTTGACTCTTGATTTCTGCTCTGTCAGTGTTTTCCTGTAGAGTGATTCCATCTATTTTACCATAATAGGACCATTTCCCTTTTCTGTCAGCAAAATATATAAAGGATATCTTATTCTATCATCTTTATTTCTACAAATTCAAAACTGAAAACTGTCTCTAGAACCTACCCCACTTTATTGTTGTCAGCTACAGGGTAGGAAGACAAATTCATTAAATTACATATACATATACAGCCTATTTCATTAAATTACAAAAATGGGGACTGCTTGTGCTGTTGTACTAAAAATAAAGGGAAAGTATTTGATTAAGTCACAACAGTGATCACTAATGCTTAATAAGCTTGAAACTATGAGTAACAGATTGTAACATAGTCTTCTAGTTTTTATTCTTATTTACTCTAATACTGATTAGCTCCTGGAGATCCTCGAGGGGCATCACTCAACTAATCACACCCCATGGATCTCTGAGGGATGATGCGTGAGCAAAGGGAATATTTATTTAACCACCCACTGAAAAACAACACTGGTATGCTAAGCTGTGCAACTCCTGGTTGTATATCCAACAGATCACATCCCTAGAGCAGCTATTCTAGGCTGAATTTCTTCCAGTCTTTCTCAACGAGCAGTATCTGAAAAACATTCTTCAGGATTTAGCACTCTTTCTGAGATAATCATTTGTCCTAGCCATTCATCATATGCTGAGAAACAACAGCTTCATAATGCAAGGTAAAATGAGTTTCATTACATGCATTGTGCCATCCTCTGATCATCTTTAATATTTAGGTATTATGAAACCAGTTATCTCTTAAGAAGCAGCAGTTTCAAATGCTGCTGTCAGTGTGACTAATGGGTGTCCTGAGCATCTGCTTTACTTGCACAGTTCGGCAAATGGGGATGCAAGAAGAATAGGAGAATTACATAGCAAAGGCCTGTATATTTGCGTAATACTTGTAGTTGAAGCTTCACTCTAAAATACTTCCAGTTGAACATTCTTTCTAACATCAGAGATTAATACTTGACTCTTACCGCTCCAATAGCGCCATGAGTTGCAGGAGCAGCATCTTCACTGTCTATTGCTTTAGCAACAGTTATTTGAAACTGAGACAGTCCTTTTTAATAAAGTAATCTGTGACAACTTGCCTCGTGAGCAAGTGCATTTCTGGCCATCTGTTTCTCAAGATACTGTCCCTTGATATGAAAGGTTAGAGCTTCATAGTGTGATGGAAGCATGAGCCTACACATTAAAACGCTTTAACCTCTAAAATGCCATAATGCCATCTATTCTGAGGAGAAAAAGTAAAAGCGTTTAATCTTTACAGATTTATGGATAATTTAATTTCAGTTCCTTGCATGTCACTATTATGGTCGCGCTTGCTGTTTATGGCATTTGCTGAAGCTTCTTCTCTCCTTTAGGGGAATTTGTCACTGATTACATAGGCTGTGGGTCATTGATGGGGTTTAAGTGTATGACTTGTAGCTGGGGTGGGTGTATTTTGGAACAATAGTTCCCTCTGCTGGCTCTGCGGGCAGTCACAGCCCTGTCTGCACAGGAAGGACCAGTCCACATCTGGTGTCATCTGCTCAGGCAACTAACAGATGGTTTTGGATAGCAAGAAGCTAGCAAAGGTCATCAAATAAATAGGATAATCATAAAATCTTAACCCAGTATCAACTGGCCAGGAATATCAGTTTAGTTTCTGCTCAAGGGAGAAGAATCTCAAAGCTATAATATGCTAAAATCAGGAGACCTAGGGTCTGTCAACTGAAAATGTTGTTTCACATTCACTTCAAAACCTATATATAGCTCTTAAGCTGCTATTTTAAATAAGTAATATAGAAAATAGAGGCCAGAGAAGCTCTGATTATATGAAAAAAAAAATGCAGCAAGAGAACCAGAGCGGGAGATGCATCCTTGCCTGGGTGGATTTCAGTGAAGAGTAATCAGACTTGTAGAGTAGGCTAAGAAAGACACCAAACATTGGATAGCCTGCAAAATACCAGACCTGAGAAGGCATCATGTTCTATTTTATGTCTGTTCTTACCCCTCTTCACAGACAATGGTAGATTTTAATTGACTGCTTAAGAGCTGTCACTCTTAAGTGACAAAGGGACTTCATGGCAGATAAAATGAATTCAATATTTAAAAATGCCTTTGATGGAGATATACATGCTTAACTAGGATGTGTATATAGGGCACCACAGAAAAATTTTTCTTCTTTAAAGAAGCAAAATACTGTCCATACCATTTGTGATTCAAATATAAGCCAAAAACAGTGGTACATTGAATTGAATACCGGTATACTTCCTCTCTGGCCATCTGATAATTTCCAGATTGCTATTAATAACCAAAGTATGAAATTCTACATGTCTTTTTTTTTTTTGAGTGAAACTACTATATTTTTATACAGCTGAGTTAAAATCTTACTGTTACTGGAACTGTGTCCACAACTGAGGGGGAGTTAGAGGGAGGGAGAGACTAGAATTGCAAAGATAAATGAGTAAGATTATACTTAATTCATGTTTTCCCCCAGGTACAGGAATTGGTCCCAGGGCAGTGCTGTACATGCTTCAAACTCATACAAACGTGATGTAAAAACAAGCTGAAGTATTTTTTCTGAACAAAGGTACTGTTCATATACTCTGCTGAATTAACACTTTTGGTAGACTTCAAAACACCTTTACACAGGAAGATGACTAATAAGCTAAAGATGGTGGGAGGGGAGCAGAAGGCATACTCCTAGAATAATACTCCCAGTGAGAGAAGGTTTCTTTGAAAAGGGAAACAGAGAAGTTCCACAAAAAAAGTCAAAAGATTGGAACAAAGTGGTATTCAATTAGAACAGGTAACAGTGTTGAAAACTACACTGAGAGTATATTTTCATATATTTATTTATATACACACATACACTCAGATTTCTTCATTAGGAAACAGGAAGCAGATGATTACACAGTAGGTGATTTGTGTTCAGAACAAAGCTTGCACTAAAAATGCTGAAGATCAGGTTAGAAAAGATTATATAAGAAATGCCTCTCATGAGAAAATATTTTAAAAGCATGTGCAGAGAAAGAAAAGGCTTGAATAAAGGAGAAACTGGAATGTCAGGTTTGGTTACATCCTGAGTAACTGTGAGAAGGAAAGGAAATAAAAATATACACTACAGATGGTAGCATAAGCAATGCCTTTCTAAGCGGAATGTTTTTTGCTTGTTATCTGCTTTTTACATACTGAAGAATGAAGATAACACTCATTCTTAAAGATGCTAATGCATTCTTGTCTCTTGGTTAGCTTCGCATTTTACTAATAGCGAAGTCTTATTATGAGAATTCCTATGGTAGCCTCCAAGTAAACAGAACAACTGAAGGTATTTGTCCCCATTATAGTTTTCAACACAAAATAAATGTTTGGTCACTTGAGTAGCTCTGTAGGCACAAAGAGCTTACACACAGCACTAAATACAGTACTGCTAATGATTGATGTACACCTGCTAGAATGCAACTAGCAGATTTAAAATACTTCTAGTGCTTCCTGAATCCTGTGCCATTTGTTTACAAATGCTTTGACTCCACTGTACAACTATAATATTGCAACTATAAGACATTAAAAATGCAATTAAGGACCTAGCACTTGGAACATCTGCATCACATAATTTTCTGAATAAAAGACAAAATGTGCTGTAATGTAACTGTATGCAGATCCAGGCTTCTCTATACAGAAGTGAAAAGGTTTTACACATACTAATTATGTCATTAATGTCAGTTGTTGGTTTTTCAGCACTGCTGCAAAGTCTTGTATTTCTAGTCAATCCAGAACTTGGAGGCTAGGTTAACACACTGGAAATCAAAAGTCCTTCAGAAAGAAGCTACTTTCTGTGCTGTTCTATGTAATCCCTGAAGCTTTATTCATTGAGGTGGTAGACATGCTGCTCTGACTTCAGCTGATCCAAAATGAGAGCTTCCCGCCACGAATCAACTTCTGGTTGCTGATTATAGTCCTCAGCATTTTCCCACTAAAAATTACTATTTCTTCAGAACTGCAGTCTGTGCATTATGTATGTTGTCACCCCCCACTCTAATCAGATCAATTTAAACATTTACAGGGTTTCTTTAATCAGCATCATTTTGAAGGAACCATCTTAAGAGCAAACAATGTAAGCTCTTTCCTGTTTTAAGTTACCCTTCCAACAAAGAAGGATTTGCTTGGCACCTTGCAGACTCAGAACCTCAGGGAAGTTGTTAAATCAAAAGACCAAAGCACATTTCTTTGTGTTTCAGTGCACTTTCATTCTGGACATTTATTTCTCACTCACTTTAGTTTTCCTTCCTAATATGTAGTTTGAGGTTTTTTTGGTGATGTATCTCACAAATGTATTCCAAATATCCCTCCAGAAGGTGAAAACACCAGTTCCTGTGCTCTTTGTAGTCCTTGCAAGTAAAAATGTCACAGTAAAATATCACCTGGTAGCTTGAGGAATCCCTAGCACCACATCCCTGCTTTGATAGACTGCTGTTTTGATGATGAGATCCCACATTTGAAGCAGAAACTTGCCTTTTGTTCATTGGAGGACATGGAACTGATAAGACAAAAAAGTCTGTTACACGAAAGTGTTTCTTCCCAAATTTATGTATAGAGAAAGCACCTCTGGGATCTGTCAGAAAATATTTTCTTAATTATAGCCATTTTCATTCTTAGTGGCTTGATTCCATAGAGAAGAAAAAGCCAGCCAGGTCCACTAACCTTCATTACACAAAAATCTCTAAATAATTTTTTGAAGTCAAAAATACATAGACATATTTTTTTAAATCAACTTGACAGTTTGAACAGTGTCCAAATACATGATTATTAATTCTTTACTGGTAATACTAAGAAGTGCCAGAGCTATCTACCATCTCTTTACTCTGCAGTTATATTCAATTTTCTTTGAGTTTTACAAACTGTATGAGATCATTTAGAAATGGAGAGTTTCCAGCACCTGCAAGAATTAGATCTTTGGAGGTGATAGAGCCATTATAATCTAAATTTTGGTATCAAATTAATTGGCTATGATGTCTTTTTCAGCATAGTGCCAAGCGTATACAGGAGCTACTATCTGATAAGTAAGCTGTTACAGCATAGCTTACAAGGTACCCCCCATATTTTTGAAAGAGAATCAAAGTAAATATAAATGCATACTGCACAGTCTGATACAAGGAGTTCCTTGGCACATATCTGGGATGTTTTATCTTTAAAAAAAATGTTGTAAGCTGAATGGCTCATCTAATCCCAAATGAATGAAAATCCTTTGTTTAATTCTGCGTAGTGTGAGTAATAGGAAATTCTCCCTGAAATCTTCCAAGTGCAGTGGACCCCTCCGCCAGATGTAATCCTGTCTTAATCAGTGTAGGAGCAGCCAGACAGCTACATCCTCCTTCCTCGTCCAGACTGGATTCAGCCTTTAAGGAATAAAGCTGAGCCTGTGAGATGTCTGGGCTATTCATCTATATATCTATTCATCCACATTATGACACATTTTATTTAAGGAAGCACACTAATTTCTTAGAACATTTCTTTAAAAAACGTAGAAAGACAAGAGTCATAAAAGACAAGGTAAAGATGACCTAAATTTTATGGTTTTCATCCTTACCATGATTTGATTAAGATGCAGGTTCTTCTTCATTACGGTCTTGTCTACTGCAGCTAGAGTTTTTTTTTTAAAAAAAAAAAAAAAGCAAAATTGGTTGGAGTCAGCTGAATTTCTTTGTACTCTTAGTGTGTTCTGAACTGTGTCCAAGTCCTGCAGAGTAATTTTCTCCTCTCTAACTGAGCTAGCTCTCACTGACCTGTCATGAAGTATTGAGATTCCTGACTACATTTTTTCCTTTACCAATAGGATGTAGCTGTGTGAAATTCACCCTCAAAAATGCACTGTTACTTCTAATGAACATGGGTGTATGTTAAACAGATCAGCCATTCAAGAATTTTATCCAAAACACAGGATGCATTACCATGCACTGGCAAATTAGTGAAATGCTCCTAAACTTGAAGTCACTTCCTAAACTTGGATGTTTAGGAAAAAAATAAATCATGTGGGTGCTGGGAGTAAGTATTATTTTTAGGTAGGAGAGACCTACTTGAAAATGTCAGTACCTCAGCATACATACATTTAATACTTTGTTTCAGGACAATTTTCATTTTTATGAATACTGTTGAATACTGAGTTCAGGAAAGTCGACTCCATGCGTTCAGCCATTAGGCTTGTGCCAATGCCTCTGTTTGCTCTGCTGCGCCAGAACGCTGAGCAGCTTTGAAAGTAGGCAGTCTTGGAAACAGAAGCTGTGGCCCTCGCACCGCCAGGGTAGCAAGGCTGAACAGTTTTATTACTTTATCTAGTAGTATTGGGACAAACTTTCTTCAAGCTTTCTGACTGCCTCTTTCCTGCTTAAAGAATAAAATACTATAAATATTAAATGAATATAGATATTAAAAAGAAACTCCATGAAAAATCAGGACATGAGCACTGTGAATGGCCAAGAGGAGGACGAAGTCTCCCTTTTTGGGCCGCCTCGTGCCGCGGCAGGGTTTGTGATCTGCTGCCCTCCGGTGGTGCTCGAGAGGCTCTTCAGAAGCGCAGCCCTGCCGCAAAGCTACTACAAGTACCATGTTTTGAGAACATCAGATTTTAAGATTAAAAATCATAGCCTGGTCCTTATTTTTTTTTTTTTCCCCTGTTCTCATCAGTGTTTCTACATCCAGTTCCTAGTTTGCTCTCTGAAACATTCTCATCATATTCACTTTTCACAGGGGTTCAGATTATAAATATAGCACAATATAAACAGGAATAATATCTAGGTTGCTTAAGTATCTAGTATTGTCTGCATTCGGTCTGCTAATCTTTTTCTTCATAATTATTATTGATAAACTAGATTTCTAGCGTTGAAGAAAATAATTTTAAAAATGTTTAAAAAAGATATTAAAAGTGTTTTCTTATGCCACGTGCAATTCTTTACTTAAATATCTGTGTATACCAGTGGATGTTTCAGAGCCAGAGTTGAATTTACTCGCAATGTCGTGGCGCTTCCCTGCGCTCCGGGAAGACGCAGAGTGCTGCGTGCGCAGAATGGCCGCAGCTTTTCCCGCTCCCGGTCCCTGCTCAGCCAGCGGGGCTCGCGCCTCGGCCGGCCCCGCGTCC